TCAGCCTGCCTCAGCCTCAGCCTGCCTCGGCCGCAGCATCAGCCTGCCTCAGCATTCAAAATGTGGCCCAGGAATGGAGTTCTGGGAACTAGAAGAACACGAAGTGGCCTACAGTTGGCTCCGGGCATTCAAAATGTGGCCCGGGAATGAGTTCTGGGAACTTGAAGAGCACGAAGTGGCCTACAGTTGGCTCCGGGCATCCAAAATGTAGCCCGGGAATGGAGTTCTGGGAAGTCGAAGAGCACGAAGTGGCCTACTGTTGGCTCCGGGCATCCAAAATGTGGCCCAGGAATGGAGTTCTGGGAAATCGAAGAGCACGAAGTGGCCTACAGTTGGCTCCGGGCATTCAGAATGTGGCCCGGGAATGGAGTTCTGGGAGGTCGAAGAGCACGACGTGTGTGACTGTTGGCGAAAAGCGAGCCCGGCTCGGTTCCCGGTTCTCCAGAATGTGGCCCGGGAATGGAGTTCTGGGAGGTCGAAGAGCACGAAGTGTGTGACTGTTGGCGAAAAACGATTCCCGGTTCTCCTCCCCGGCACCCGCCCCGACCCCCCTGTGGAGTCATCTGCTGCTCTCTTTTGACCCTACTAGAAACCTATCAGCAAAAGCTGTTAGGTAAAAATCTCTCGATCGACTTCACTATCGATACCAAGGCGGGACACCCCCGGCCACCGCCCGCCCACCGCCGACGGAACACCGACGGAACACCAACGGGACACCAACGGGACACCACGGGACACCACGGCGGGACACACTTGGCCACCGAGCGCCCACCGTGGGCGGAGAGGCAGTCCACTGCATACGAATCGCCCGAGCGACGGTGGGATCATTCCTCTCGCGCGCCCACGCAGCTTCGCCTTGCACGCACGACACGAACACTAAACCAAAACAGAGTTTCCGCTGGGGGGCTCTCTGTTCACTGCGATCTCACCCCCCAACCTCCGATGCGTTTTGTGTCCGAACGTTCTCGGTTCTTCCAAACTCGTGTTCCGTTGCAGCGTTGGCCACGCTTCAAGATCGACGCTGTGTTGCCGTTGTTTTAGCTCCACACTTCTGCGTCCGATGCGCTCCCCGCCGTTGCCGCGACGGCTGCGGCGGCCACAACGGCAACTGGGCAAGGCAAACCAAAAAAAAAACCTGCAGCACCTCGGACTTCTGGCACGGCGACGACAGCCACGAGGCGATGCAGGCCGGATAAGCATTTCAGCGTCTACTACTGTCACAGTCAACGCGCCCAGTAGGTACGCGCGCCTTCATCTTGGGTACCCTTGTGGCCTTGCCTCTGCGGCCCGTCCTCTGCCGTTTTCACTTGTCGCCCGCCGCCCAGATAATCCCAGCTTCGGCCTCCAAGGATCCTGCGTCCTTACCGCCCGTCCTTCATACACGTTTTGACAGTGCCTGCTCGTCAAAACAGGCCGGAGGATAGTCGCAGCGGCTACGGCCGGCAGCAACGACGGCCGCGGCAGCTACGAGCTACCACCGCGAGGGGAGCTGCACCGCGCCGGAGTGCCGCAGAGCTCCTGCCACAACGAGGGCCACGGCCAGAGGGACAGCTACATGCACAGCGGAAACTAGGGTTGCAAGGAAAGCTGCAGCCTCGGGGAGTGGCTACGACGCCTGCTGGGGCAACGACAGGCAAGTCGCTTTCAAGGGGCAGGGCTACCAGGAGGTGCTGGATTTTGAGCACGGCTCACTCTGAGGAGATGCTATGACGTGCCCTACTCTTACCACTACGACAGCCACCACTACCATTGCTGTTACTGCTGCTACGGCTGCAACTACCGCTACTACTGCTCCTACTGCTGCTACTTCTTCTGCTGCTACTGCTACGACTACTTCTAATAAGACGTGCATTGCCGTCGCGGCCGAGCGCCAGCGCCGCTTCGGCCTGGCACCGCTGTGGACCGCTGCTGCGGCGACGAAGGAGGAGAGATGAGCAGAGAGTCCACTGGTATTGAGTTGTGTCGCAAACACGCGTTGATCCCCAGCGACGCACACATCCTGGCCCCTACATGCACAGGCAACTTCCAGCACAGGGGCGCAGATCAGACACATGCTTAAAGGGCAGAGGTAGTACAGTGCCGTTTTTAATACATGCTCCACGTGCGGATCATGTATTAAACATGCAGGGATGTAGTATTAAAAACAACGATGAGTTCATGCATGAATTCATTCACGAATTGATCATGTATTAAAAACCAGATATGTTAAGAAATCCTATGTATTAGAAATTGCCCTGTATAGCATATCTTCTCTTCACCGCCCCCCCCCGAAACGCCCTGAGACGCGCCGAGATCCCACACGCGTGTCAAACTTCCTCGGCCTGGTCTCCCGGAGGAGGGGGCTTTCCGGAAGCCCGGCCGAGACCCCGCTGGGCGTCTCTTGCCGTCGCAAGAGGCCTTCCGAATGCACAGGGACTGCCGGAAGTGCCCGGAAGCTCTCGACTCTCGAATCCTCGACCCTCGACCCTCGAACCCTCGACTCGCTTCTCGGTCCTCGGCCCTCGCTTCTCGGCCCTCGACCCTGGGCCGTCGACCCTCGATCCTCGGTCTTCGACCCTCGATCTTCGACCTCTCGACCCCTGCTTCTCGGCCCTCGATCCTGGATCCGCGACCCTCGCGCCGCGCTTCTCGTTACAGGTAGGCGGCAGCGCCACCACCAGGGGCACAGCCTCTGGCGAGGGGTTCCACGACGCCCCTCGAGCTGGGGTGTTGAGGGCCGTCTCGAGCGAGGCGGGGAGGACGTTGCCGCCAGGAGGACCATCCCTGGCGCCTCGTGCTGATGGCGGTGGTGTCGCCTCTTCTTGATCTCTGAGGCCCCCGTCGTCGTTTTTTTCAAACCGTGGGCCCCCCGTCTGTAATCGACGTCTGTTTGCCAGTCTGTTCCTTCCCCCCCCCCTTGCACGGTGGCCAATTCGCTACAATGGTGCCCCCGTTTAGTTACTTTCATCCGCCAGGGCAGACGACCCCTGCCTAGCCGCCGACAAAAAAGATTGCCGCTCTGTTTGCCAGTATTCTACTATACGATGCTGTTTTGGCTCAGGAGCTGGAAGTTCTCGCGGAGGTTGCCGCGACCGGACCCACAAGATACCCATTGCTTGGCGGGAGCGCGGACGCGACGAGCTCGCGCACACATGGTGAAAATGGCGGACATCTTCACGGCGGGAAAGTCCGTCTACTCGGTGGGCTTGCTGTTGTTCTCCGTTGTTGTCGTGATGACCTTCATCTACGCGCGGGACACGAAGCACTCAAGGGACGGACACGCCGTGGTCGCCTTCATTGTCATCTGGGTCGCCACGGTGTGGCTCGCGGTTGTCGAGGGAGATCGGGCCTCTCTGGTCGGACTTCCTCCCGTCCCGCCGGAACTCTACAAGGACAGTCCTCCAATCACTCACCGCATCACTGCGCTTGCTCACAAGGACGACAACCTCCATCGTTACCTCATCGGGAGACAGTTCTTGGTCGTGCTGATCGTCTTCGTGACAAGTCTGCCGGGTGCCCCGCTCGGAGATGTCACTGTCATTGGTTTACCCGACGTACTCAGAATATCTTCTTGTCGTCAGGCTTAGCTATGATCTTGGTGTTGGCCATGATCGGCCAGTTTTTTGCTCAAGTCAATGCTTCGCACTGTATGCATGAATTCGTCAACTCATACTTCGCATTGGCAACGCTCTACCTAGCATTGGCCATTGAGTTCTCTGGTATCTTACATTCAGCATACCTTGTTTTCAAAAACTCGCACGTAGACCGACGGCATCCAACAGCGAGTCGAGCAGTGGTCTCCAGCGTGTTTTCTTCGGTGGGCGCATCGTATTATAACTGTGTATACAGGGTTTTTCCTTTGGCGGTGACGATTTCCGCTTTATTCCAAAGGAAGACGCCCATGTGGCCGGGTGTTCCAGAGGTGGTCTTTGTGTTTCTCTTCTTCTTCCTCATGTCGGTCGTCGGCATGCTCGAGGGTGCACATATTGCGTTCTTTGCCGTCGCGAAGCTTGACAAAACAGAATTAGGCAGCAGTCCAGTATGTACGAAAACGTGCGAGCTCCTCTTTCGGGGAGACGGTCATAACCTTCCAGGTTTCATGATTGGCCGTCAGATCCTTGTGAATATGTGTTTCTGTTCATCATTGCTCGAGTCACCACATTGAATGTCGACGCAGAAGCTGGCGAAGAAACTATATTTGTGGTATCCAATGCAGGATTTCTTCAACACTGGCCTGCTTGGTGCTATCATCACCACCACTGTCGGATCTATTATTTGGCAGTTGGTAGCCTCGGTCTTTCCCGTCGCGTTCATGCACAACCCCCTGGTATACGTTCTATTGAGGATCTGCTTGTTTCTGGAATTCACTGGCGTCTGCTCTGGTGCGTGGGTCCTGGCCTCGTGTCACAAGTACATGGCACGTCTCCGGCGCGACGAGTTTATATTGATCGTGCTAGCAGCGACGGCAAGGTAGACGTAGAAGTCGTTTCAAATGTTGGTTTTCAGCCTTGCGCGGATTCGAAGCCATCTCTTGGAATCGATCCCGGAACTTTCCACCTGAACCCCCCAAGTACATCAGCGAGATCGGTCAAACCACCATCGGGAAGGAGCCGCAGCCATCCGCGAGCTCGTCGTTTCAGACGCTGCCCGTTGCCGGCGTTCGAGTGAGCCAGCGCTGGTGAACCGTTCGGGCAGCTGTGCCCCCCGCTGGTCTGGGCGACAGGTGGCCGAATACATATGTGACCTGTCTTTCCATACACCAGAGCGTGACTTACCTACCCCGCTTTCGCTTCCAGGCAAAACCAAGCCATACCACGCGCCTCCTCGTCAAGCGGCCTGACCAGTACAGGCTGCAATGTGGCATCGTTTGGTATCTCTTGGAAGCGAGGGTGGTCAAAAGCGAGGTAGGTTTGTTTCCCCCCTAATACACCTGAAACCTTTATGATAATTCGGGCCTCGAATGGAGATGAACCCTTCAGGGCCAGCCAGCCTGGACAGCCAGCCCGCCGCAGTGTCCGTCCGACCAGGGCGGCGCGAGGTCAGCGCCCCCTGGGTCGGCGCTGTTCTGGCCGATGCGTATTTTGAACCACTGGGTAATGTTCGGCACGCGTAATTTCATTCGACCCTGCTCTTGACATGTCTTCGCGTTCGTAACTAAGGGCGTCGCGCTCGCATCACAGGACGAGTCTGTTCGTCCTGAGGTCGTCGAGAACCGCGCGCAAGCGACTCACATACGCTCTCTTGACTCCTTGAACGGATTCGAGGCGCTGTTGCTCAACGCTCGATCGTGTTCAGCTGTTTTCATGCTACCGCGACCTGCGGCTTCGCTCTGCACTGGCTCGAGGGCGCGAGGGCTCCTAAGAAGCCCCGCCACCTTCTGAGAAGGCTCTCACCGCCGAAGGTTGACAGTCGCAAATTACCCTGGCGACGTACCCAACCCCTGCGCAATGCGGGGCAGGAGTAGCTTGGGAGATTTGTCGAGAAGGCGGCGACGTGACATGGACGCATATATATTTCTGCGAGCGGCATTCGAAAGGTTCGCAGGTCCCCAATCAAGGGTAACACGATGAGTAACTAAGTGGACCCCTGAGTCACTAAGGAAGACGCAAGTTTCAAAAGGAGACGGTGGGCAAGGGGCTTGAAACGTCGGCGGCGCAGCAACAACATGACATGCCCCCCAAAGGACGGCGAGGCCCCGCTCAGGTCTGCGCAGTGCCTCACTCCGCTGGACCAACCAACAGCCTTCAAAAGTGGCGAGCCCACCAGCAGCCCTCGAAAGTGGCGACAGTTTCGCAGATCGCAGCCCCCCAGGGACGGGGAGGTCCCGCTCAGATCCGCGCGGTGCCTCAGTCCGCAGGACCCACCAGCAGCCCTCGAAAGTGGCGACAGTTTCGCAGATCGCAGCCTCCCAGGGACGGCGAGGTTCCACTCAGATCCGCGCGGTGCTTCGCTCCGCTGGACCCACCAGCAGCCCTCGAAAGTGGCGACAGTGTCGCAGATCGCAGCCTCCCAGGGACGGCGAGGTCCCGCTCAGATCCGCGCGGTGCTTCATTCCGCTGGACCCACCAGCAGCCCTCGAAAATGGCGACAATTCCGCAGATCGCAGCCCCCAGGGACGGGGAGGTCCCGCTCAGATCCGCGCGGTGCCTCAGTCCGCAGGACCCACCAGCAGCCCTCGAAAGTGGTGACAGTGTCGCAGATCGCAGCCTCCCAGGGACGGCGAGGTCCCGCTCAGATCCCCGCGGTGCCTCACTCCGCGGGACCCGCCAGCAGCCCTCGAAAGTGGCGACAGTGTCGCAGATCGAAGCCCCCCTGGGACGGCGCACACAGACACAGACACAGACACAGACACAGACACAGACACAGACACAGACACAGACACAGACACAGACACAGACACAGAGACAGAGACAGAGACAGACACAGACACAGACACACACACACACACACACACACACACACACACACAAACACACACACACACACACACGAGGTCCGCACAAAGCAAGAGGAGACTAGACGGGAGCGGGAGACGGGAGGCGGGAGGAGGAGGAGGAGGAGCAGGAGGAGGAGGAGGGGGACTGGAGACCGCAGTGCTCTGTTGACACGGCCCCGAGGCCCGGCGGAGCGGGACCCCAGAGGCAGACGAATGCATAATTTTGTGGCGCCCCGCGCGGATGTCTTGGCTCGGCGCCCGGGGCGCCCTGGCGGCGCCTCCGGCGCCGCCCCTGGCGCGCTCCGCGCGACAGGGAGGGGGAGTCCAGCGCAGATCCAGGAAATCCGCGCGCAGCGCCAAACGTTTGTGTCTACGCCGTTTTTTCTTCTCCCATCACCCCGAGTCGTCTCTGCTGCACGGCCCCGAGAGGCCCGGCAGGAGCCCCCCCCCCCAGAGGCCGCATGGGAGGAGAAACGTCTCGGCGTGACTTCTTCACGACGCGAGGGGGATCTGGGTTGCTCCCGCGGCAACATTGCCCTTGGTGGCTTTCTGGCCTTGGTTCGGGCCCCCGGCGGCCGTTCGGAACGGGCCTGGCACCCCCTGGCACGCCCTTTGCGAGGCGCAGCCGCTGGAAGGCATCCTGAGGCTGGAACGCAGCCGAGGACCAGCCGATAACGCCCGAGACCTGCTCCGACAAACACGCCTGGCGCCCGAAAATCCTTCCCTGTTCCCATTCCGGCTCTCGGCCCCTTGTTTTCCGTGGGCGTCTCCAATCCACTGATTTTCCCCGGCGTCGCTGCCGATAACGAAAGTTTGTGCCAGGCCTGCCTACCCTCACGCTCCGTCGCGATGAGCCTGGCGTCCTGGCTTTCCAGATGGACGTTGGTCGAAATGTCGGCCCACGGAGATGGCGTGGTCGGCTTCTTGGGGGAGCGCGCTGATTTCGGCCAGATCTTTACCAGTTTGAAACGTATCCCTATCCCTATGTTTGACATCACCTCACCTCGATGCCGATCTTAAGGATTCTCTCAGTTTCTGAGGGCCTATCCTTAAGATTGCCCTCGCCCTTTGCTCGCCCATCTTAG